AGGGGAAGCTCTGGATGGAGTGGTGGCGGGAGTCAGAGGCCTCATCCAAGCTGATGGCGTGGAGCAGGTGGGTGCGGAGCGGGCCGTGCTGCGAGGCTGCTGTGCTGCTCTGCGACAGCAGCGTGTGCAGGCTCCCATTGCTCTTGGACAGCTTCTGCCCCTTGGACGAGGAGAGGCCCTGCATGGAGACCAGCCCCTTCCCGGCCACTGCCTTGAAGGCCGAGGGCCTAATACGGCACTGAAAAACAAAAGTGGGGTCAGGATGAACCCAGCAGCCCCTACAGGCGCCCCAAGCCAGGGAGAACCCATTCGCTCCCAGCCCCATACCCCTGGGCACCCTCAAATCCCCACGCTCCATCCTGGACACAGACTATTCTGCTCCAGCCCCATCCTCTCGCAGAGCAGGACACATTTTGGAGCCCAGCATGGCACCCACAGCCTCACCTTGTCAAAGCGGCCCCTCTCGGGCAGGGAGCTCTTGGAGAAGTCGGCCCCGCGATGATGCTCACGGGACATGCGCTCAGGGGACCGGTTCTCACGGTCGCTCTCGTAGTCCCGCTTGTAGCAGACGCCTGATGTCTGGTGCTTCCGCTCCGACCGCGTCTCCTTCTTGGCCCCGTGCAGGTAGCCAAAGAGCTCCCGCTGGCTTGGCCCCTTCCTCAGCAAGCCATCGGGCTGCCGAAGCCCCCGTGAGCCCCCCAGCGGGGCCCGCAGCTCCAGGGGGGACAGATCCTGCTTCTCCACCAGGCTGCCCACGCTGCCCATGCTGCCGACGACGCCGATGGGCTCCGAGGAGAGGTAGGTGCTCAGGATGCGGGTGTCAGGCTCACAGGTCACAGGACCCTGTGCTGCTGCCATGGAGAATTAGAGAAAAGCCCGGTACCAGCACTGCTGAAGGAGAGACAAAGTCAGCAACGCCGGGCAGCTGAGACTTTGAGCCCCTACCCGGCACCCCCTTTCCCAGCTGGCCCCAAGGACCGACCTGGGCTCCCGGTGCAAGGAGAGACCCGCCAGGTCCCGAGCAGCTCTCCAGGGGACCCGGCAGCCGAGCGAGCAGAGTGCTGGCGTGCAGCATGCACTGGGCGAGCTGCGGTGGGGTAGGGGTTCCCCCCTGCTGCCGTCCCACCCCCCTCATGGCGGAAGCCTCCCTC